AATAATGTTCTAGAATAAAAAATCAATGATGCCCTGATAAAAGACCCTGCAGTGTTGGCCAGCTCTCTCAATGAGTATTTCATAAATAGTGCATTGGACATTACAAAGCTCTTCCCGCCATCTGAGGTCTCACCTAGCCTGATTGTGGATACACACCCCATTTTTGACCTGGAGGAAATCACAGAGGTTGAGGTAAAAAATATAATCTAAGGGTTAAGAGGTTCTAAGGCTAGGGATGCAGATGATTTCGACACCAACTTTATAAAGACAAATATCGACGGTCTAATAAAACCACTTACTATGCTAGTAAATCAATCTATAAGCACAAGGGAAGTTCCATCATCCTGGAAGGTGGCCATGGTGACACCGATCTTTAAATCTGGGGATAAGGCAATGATGTCCAATTATAGACCTATCAGCATCCTCCCCTGTGTCTCTAAAAGCTGTTCGACACCAAGCCGATTATCGGCGTCGATAGATGTCGATAGATGTCGGGCCGTCGATGAGCGTTGTGTCGCCCTACTCAGATTGGTGTGTACTGCACCGTTGTTTCTTTTCGGCCGTGCCGACACCTTCCGCCAAAGCTGTTCAGCTAGCGAATCAGTGCATGAGAAGCGAAATGGAAGTGAGGGACCCAAACAAACTATTAAGAAGGCAAATCTGAGAATTAATTTAACTCCAGCTCTTGACACAAGTTCGGGAAAGCCCCATGAGCTTCTCGCTGTAGAGTGAAAATGGAACGCACACGCTATTTGTTGTTTGTTTATATCACGCAGTCTGTTGTTCTTCTCTCGGTGTATTACGCAGTCTGTCTTCCGGTTGTTGCCTCTTTTGAATGACGAATACACACTACCGCTGCCTGCTGGTAAGGAGAGTTATTGCCACTCACGCATGCGCAGTTCGTACGTGCTTCTTGGCCGTCGGCTGAAGTCTTTGCGGTGTGTTCCAGTGCGAAACATGGCCAGGACGCAGGAGACGTGAGGCGACGTTCCGTCGGGACGTGTTCTTTGGTGTCAGTTTGGTGTGTAAGAGGCTTTAGATAGCTGAGAAATGGGTGTCAAAACTAATCACCAAACATTTAGACAAATGTTTCGCTCCACTCCACCCAATGCAGTTTGGTTTTCGTGCACACCACTCCACTGAGACAGGTAACTGTGTCTTTGTGGAAAAGGTTAAATGTATGTTGGACACGAGCCCATATGTAGGTGCTGTCTTCCTTTATCTCAGGAAGGCTTTTGACACTGTTGACCACCAAGTGCTCCTTACAAAGCTGACTCATTTCAATTTTTCGGCAGTTTCGATACATTGGTTTAAGTCTTACTTATCGAACAGAAAACAGTGTGTTTTGGTCAACGGTGCCAAATCCCCCTACCTTGTGAACCCTGTTGTGGTTCCACAAGGTTCCATTCTTGGAGCATTACTTTTTTCACTGTACATTAATGACTTGCCTAATGTATGTCCTGAGTTGAATGTGCAAATGTATGCTGATGATGCGGTCATCTTTGTACACGGGAAAAACACTGAAATAATCGCATCTTGTCTCTCTAATGCTTTGGACAAGGTTCAACACTGGCTGAACAATATGATCTTACAGTTAAATGTAAAAAAAACAGTATGCATGATGTTCAGTAAACGACCAGTCAAAATCGAAGGATCCAACGTGTTTTTAAACGGAGCAAAAATATAACTAGTCTCCCACTTCAAGTATCTTGGAGTCATACTGGACTGAAACTTGACTTTTAAAAAACATATCAAGAAAGTATCAAATACTATTAAATTCAACTTGCAACATTTTAAACAAATTAGACCCTTCTTAACTGTCAATGCTGCAAAGTCATACCTCCACTGTATGATTCTATCCCACATTGAATACTGTTTCACAAACTGGTCGTTTGCTTGTGCCACAAACCTGAAACCCATAGAAAGCTGTACAACATTACATTACATTACATTACATGTCGCTTTTATCCAAAGCGACTTACATACTCAATACTGTGGGCAATCCCCAAAGGAGCAATTTGGGGTGAAGTGTCTTGCCCAGGGACACAACGACATGCTGACTGCAGTGGGATTCGAACTTGCTTTCCTCTGATTCGAAGATCAGCGCACTGAGCCACAGCCTCCCTACAAGAGAGCTATCAAGGTTTTTGACAGAAAGCCAAATTCATACCACCACTGTACCATCCTTTCTTGAGCTTTGACTATTTTAAGTCTTTTAAGAGTATGTGCTTTATTTATAAATGTTTACATGGACTGCCCCCCCCCTCCCCTCCCTTAGGGGAATTCATCCACAAAAAACACACTGGACGCTGCACTAGGTCAGAAACCAGAGGAGACTGTGAAGTCCACCGCAGACGGACCACTTTTGGACAAAATGTCCTCTCCATTAAAGGCAGCTCTTTGTGGAATAGCCTCCCAACTGAGATACGGGATTGTCCCACTCTCAATGGCTTCAAAGGTCAACTCAAAGAATGGTTGAGAAACAAACAGACGTGTAATCACCGCTAAATGCACTTTAATACAGGGGTATCTCCTCTTGCACTTTATGCATCTCTTGTATCCTCTCTTGCACTTTATATGTCGTTGCTGCTAGATTGTATTACATTGTCATAAATACTTGTGTATGCTGCTCTTGCTCTGTTGCACCTTTTGCATATCATGTATTTTGTTTTGCCTATGTTTGTAAAATGTAAACTTCTTAAATGTTTTATGTGAGGGACTGCGGATGGAAATTAGCTCAAAGCTAAATCTGGCACTGTTACGCTTGATACATTTGAATGTTTGAAGTGTTCATTACTGTGCATTGTCCCTGCTAAATAAACGATTAAATAAAAAAAGTAAACAGAAGGAACCAAAGGCTTGGAGCTGAGAGCCAAAGACAGGTTACAGAAGTCAGGAGGTATTGAGAGATTCAAAAACGTATTGAATGTTGTTGTTTGTGGTCTTTCATGGGATTTCTTCACAATACGAATAATGAAAAGTAACTTAAGCCTTATCCTTTGAAAAAGTTGGAAAACATTGAAAGAGATACATAGTGCTGACTCATATTATAAAAAAACAACTACAGAAACTTTTGCTGGACCCAACCAGATAAAAGCACAATGTAAAATGTCTGGTCTTCACAACAATCAAACATCTGTGTTGAGACGTTTTTGCTGCAGGTGTTACAGCATATATCAGCAATTCTATAAATCATCAATATTATGTATTGGCATAAGGATCACGAGTTTAACTGAGGCTTCATCCTTTATTTCCTGTACTATGTTCCCAATGTATTTGAAGTAGGTATTGAATAAACTAGAAGCATCATTTATGATAGTCTTTCCAAGTAGCTTTTCAAGCTTATGGTTTATTAGACTGACATTTAATGAGACAGCATATTGCTCAAAAGCCCTGTTTGCAGGGGCATAAACACCATAATAACTATTTTACAATCCCCTCTCTGTGAATGAATGTGATTACGAGCGGCCTTTTGCGTGAGGTCATCATGTGAAGTTGTCTGCCAGTTATAATTCTGCAGGTACTTAATGATAGTTTTTCTTTTCACTGGATTTATTACCGGATTATGACAATTTACTGCTAAGCCCCGCAATCAAATGTTGCACCTCTGAACACGCACAGTGTAATGTGCCACCTTCCTATTCATGCCTGTATTTATGTAACACTGTTCTGTCAGCCAGATTTTCTCTGCTTATACTCCTCCTCACGGGTTACCCTCTGGGATGTTTTGCAGCATAAAATATACTACAATAGAGTTCTCACAACTTTTGGTTAACATGAAAATGTTAAACATTTTATATAAATATGACCGTTTTTCTTAATAGACAAACTCGGGTACTACAACATTACTGCATCATTATACATTGATACTACTTGATTAAATAATAGTATCCAGGGTTATGGTTGAATAAGAAACACATCAAGTGAAACCATAACCCATCAACTTTAGTCGTGGTTTTTGAAGCTCAATTCAACTGCAGACAGGCTGTGGCCTCCACTTTCACTGCAATGTCACACATGTAATATAGGCTTCCTTGACTTCATCGAAAACAATTTTTTACATTTGAGAATCTTTTGGTAGAACAGGCTCTTTGATAATACAGCTCTATTTTCAGCATCAGCATTAGCTAGACAGTCTTTAAGTCTGACAAGCAGGCCACATGAAGTCAAAAATGTGAAATGGAAAATAATGTTCACACATCCAATTGATACATTTTCTCGGTTTAGATTAGATCAGATCTATTTCCCTATTTAATAAGATCCATCTGTCCGTCCAACCATACATACAAAGATCTACAGTATATCCCCTTTGATCGGAACCACATTTCATAAATCCTTGCATTTCAAATCTTGAAATTAAATAAATTGCTGTATAGTCAGTTCATGATGATATGTGTCGACTGTTATGTTACATGCAATGCATTAATGCTTTTAAGCTTGAAAATAGTTATTTATATCTAATCAACCTTTGTTTTTACTGATATACTGAAACTTAGACATGTGTAACCCTCATAGTAACAGCAGCATAGCCCTGGGAGCCGTGTGAGGATCAGGTTTTTTGCGTACTGGCACCTTGGTAGTGCTAAACAAGCACGTGTGCAGGTAGTCCACACTCGTATTATGTTATTCATCCATTCAGGACTTGAACTTTCCGGTTTCCAAGCCAAGTCCCTAAAGACTGAGATACTGATGCACTTTCATTTTTTTAAACAAGAGAATCATTATGCAAAAACACATGAAAACATATGGCATATGCAAACTCATGAGATTGTACACACTCAGAGCAACATAATGCATTCACATAGCAGCCAGTGGGTCAACTTGGCTACTACGGATATATAAAGGACCCAAAGGAATCATAATTCAAAAAGGACATCCTGCTGTTGCCTGCAACATCTCATTACAACGCATAACTGATGATAGGTTAATGCATATGTAGGGTCTGTTACAGGCATTAGCTTTAGCTTCAGGAAAACATGTCATAACTGCAGCATACGTACCCATTGGGGTGCCCACCCCGTAGGCTTTGGAGTCAATGAGGCCTCCGATCTGCGTGAGGTTGCAGTTGCGCTGGGTAGCAAACTCTATGGTGGTGGACTCCATGAGGAACGCGTAGTCCGAGGTGAGCACACGGTGGATGCCCTCCTCGATGTCCTTCACCATCACCGAGTGCCTCCGACTGCTCATGAACTCCCACATCTTATCATACGTGGAGATCTTGGTTTTCTGTGCGGAGACAATGGCATTGTGAGTAAATAAATAAACCCTAAGATCATCGTCACATTTGAATTCATTGTAAAAGATATACTGAGTTTCCATAAATGTAAAGTTCTATGCTGGAGGTTAATGAAGAATTATTTTTGCCTCTGCAGTTATTATGTTCAGAGCGAATTTAGAAGCAGGCGAAGCACTCATTTACATACTGCCAATGTATGCAGCTCTATCAAAACCATTTGCATTTCAATTATTTTTCCAAATTTCATTAGGAAAACACGTCATATGCTCCAGAAAAAAAGAACTTTTTTGCAGCTACAGCAGAGCTCTATGCCTTCTGTCTGCCTCAGTCATTACAATGTGTGAGGGGAATATAGAAATAGGTTGTGTGTTTTCTGTATGACCGTTCATCTCTCTGTCTGTGCTGCTGCTATCACCTATAGTTAGGATCAGCAGCGGTGTTGTCAGCAATCGTGTGCTTCACTTTCTACACCTGTAATCACGGAGAAAAATCCAAGAGCGCATTACTCTCCAGGGGAGCAGATTTGAAGGCATTTTTGAAGCCATTTGAAACCTAATTAAGTCACATCTTCAAGGTCCTGCCCGCCATTATTGTGTGTAATGACTTTTTGTGGCTGGTCGATATTTTAGATCAACTGGGTGATTTGCGGAGTGCCTATCAGAATCTTTTGGAGTCACCCTTGACAAATCAGGCGATTGAGCATGCAAGCTTTAGACTGCTGATAAGGCGCGAGCAGTGGCTGTGAATACACGGAGAGCCAGATTACCACCTACACTCCAGGCACCGAGCCGAGGAGGGCTCCGAGAGCTGATTACACTCACAAGAGATCTTTGAAAACGCAACGAGTACACACGATGTCAGACCAAAATAGTAAACAAGTCCAAGAAAATCCATCCATAGCATTTCAGAATGTGCTACATCCTTTTTAATTGATCAGAATATTCTAGCTATAACAAAAAAAGTACTCAGTGTTTGTATGTCCTGTCCTCTTCTTACACAATTTCTAATTTCTGCTGGTTTACCTTGTCATCAAATTGAAGTGGCTGAAGGTAAGCATGCTTTCAACCTGTAGATTTTACACATGCATTTAAGTTTTTCCTGTAACGCAGTCACTGTTCTCAAGAGCTGTAAGGCCCCCAGCTGTATGTTCGGCAGCAGTGAGTCATGTGGGGTGATGGGGAGAAAAGAACAAGCCAAAACCCCCATCAGCCTCAGTTAGATCAACATGGTGGTGAGTAATACTCTCTATTACAGTTTGGGTGAACTGTTGCATTGTGTTTTAACTGGTTCATGCCATGTAATTGCTAACACTTATGACATATTCTGCTCACTTTCAGGTTCATATCTGTATTTAGTGTCTTTACTGGGACATGTCTCCATGCTTTAATGTTCAAAAAGTTATTTAGTTTTCCCTCTACTGCAGCACCTCTTTTCCCCCTCTGTCTGAAACCAGACCCCAGTCTGCTCTGATTGGTTAGCTGGCCGTCTCTGTTGTGATAAGTCAACCGCTTAGATGTCCCGCCCCTTAGCCTATCACGTACAATGTGTTGGAGCACGAGTTAGATATTGATGTCACTGTGTTACAGAAGTAAACAAAGGAGTCCAATGGAGGCCTTTCAGACAAGGGGGGAGTGTGGGAGAGAATCTCCCTCTGGAGGGAACACAGGGATTTTAGCCTTTGAGGACCATTTACATGCACAAACATAACACACTACAGGAAAGGGAACACCAGTGGCGTTTTCTCCCGGAGGCCAAGGGAAGCCAGGCTTTCCCTGTTTTTTCGGATTGTAGTTATAATTTAAATAAATAAATAAAAACACTTTGTTTTGTTTCGATAATTCTCCTTTGCTGTGTGTTGCTGCCGGCCCGTCTCTCCCCCACTCTCATTGAGTATTTTACAAAGAGTGAAACAAACAGCGCCCCTCTAGATGTTATGGTGAAACAGTAGATTGCATTCACTGTTGCGAGAGGAGGCCAGCCGAATCGGGCTTCCCTTGGTGAAAAAAAATTGAGGGATTGACCAATCAGATGAGGCCCACGTGATGCCCCTGCCAACCTGTGATTGGTCAGGGCCATGCCAAGGGAAGCCTGGCGGCTAGCGATTTGATTGGACACTGCCATCCAATCAAATCACATCAACATCAGTTTTACTACGTACTGTAGTACTGTAACTGTCATCACCGCCGTTTGAAATTATCAAGCAAATGAAGCATTATGGAGGGTGGAGATTTGGCGTACTTAATCAAACATAACTTTACTAAACTTCCGCTACAGCAGCAACTCAAAATTAAATCAGATGACAGCCCACACTCGAGCTGTGTACACAGAGGAAAAAGGGAGCGAATCGGACGTTCAATGAGGACAACTATGTCTGCACGGAGTGGCTAACTGGAAGCGCTAAACTTCAGCATCTATTTTGCTGGCCATGTCTTCTTTTTGACAAGGATTCGTGCTCCCTGAACAATCCTTGGGCAACTTCAGGATTCATCGACCTTGCCAACTTGTCACGGGCAATTGAGAGGCACGGTAAATCCAAAAATCACATAGATTGTGCTGTGAAATTAAAGCTTTTTGGACGCGTCAGGATTGACGAGGCTCTGGATATAGCAAGAACCATTAGCACAAAGAAGCACAATGAACAAGTAAAAAAGAACCGGGATATTCTGAGGAAACTCATCATTGCTGCCCTGTATCTTGCGCGTCAAGAACAAACATTCAGGGAACACAATGAGGCCGCTGGCAGCTCTAACAGGGGCAATTTCGTGGAGCTGGTACGTGCATTTGCAGAGTTTGACACTGCACTTGCGGAGCACTTGGGATCGTCAACAGTCTTCAGCGGTATGTCAAACACCATACAAAATGACATCATTGAAAGCATAGCTCGTTCTATCCAGGATGAGATTGATAAAGAAATACACATTTCTCCTTTCATTGCTGTACAAGTGGATGACACATCAGACATTTCCAATAAGTGCCAACTCACTGTCATCATCAGATATGTGAATGAAAAAGGCAGTGTGTGTGTGAACGTTTTCTCTGGTTTTTTGATGTCAGCTTAGAAAGAGACGCAAAAGCTGTAACATCAGTTGTCATGAGAGCCATCGGGAACTACAGTCCAACAAACAAACTGATTTGTCAGACTTATGACGGAGCAAGCTGCATGAGTGGACAGCACGGTGGCGTTCAGGCTTTAGTGAAAGCACACTGCCCCAATGTGCTATTCATCCACTGTTATGCTCATAAATTAAATTTGGTTTTAGCACAAGGCACAAACAACATTCAAGCAGCCAAACAGTTTTTTGCCAATCTTGATGCCTTCCACAATTTTTTCTCATGTTCATGTAAGAGATCAGCATTACTGTGTGAAGTTGATCGAGCTGTGCGTGTACCAGGGGGTTCTGCTGTGAGGTGGAACTTTAAAAGCTGCGCGGTACACGCCATCCACGAAGGGCGCGGGTCGCTCTGTATCGCTTTCGACAAGATAATGACAGAGCCGGGATGGGACAAAGAGACCATTGCACAGAGTGCTTCATTGAAGCAAAAACTTGAGGATTTTGACTTCACCTTCCTGCTCGGGGTCTTTCAGTCCACACAGAACCACTCTTCAAAGTAAGACGGTGGACATAAAAAACGCCTACTGATACTTTGATGTGAACGTAAAACTTTAAAGGTCTCCTGATTTACTTTGTGAATGAATGCTTCTTTTTTATTTATTACCGAATCTGCACTGCGCATTGAGCGGCTGGTATTGCATTTTGTGGGGGAGGGGGTGTGTCTGCATAAATTAATAAGAAAATGCTTAAATTAATAAGACGAGAGAGTTTTGGCTGGAGAGTGCGTGCGGACCTGTCGGTTAGATAACAGGCGTGTGCAAGTCCTGCATCTGTGTGATACAAATGTGTGTAAAATGATACTGGGCGCTGTAATCACTCATCTGGTTACGTTATTGACCACCCCCCCCCAACCCAAAAAAATGGGCTTCCCCTAAATTTTTCCCCACGCCACGCTACTGGGGAACACCCCAAAAACCATAATAGGGCCTCTTTAAGATTGACAGAATATGGCGTCTTATCCTTTAGTCCTCACGCTGTATACCTTGAACCCACAATATTAAGAGAACTCTGTTGTTAAATGTGCAGATTACCAACATCAGTCAGATTAAAAACAATAGGGAGGCTTCATTTTAGCAAAGTTCCCAAAAGCAATAGTCAGCATCCCCACAAAAAAATATCAAACTTGTATTGGTTTGTGCCATCCCACATCACAAGGGACCAGCAGTGGGGGATAAAGAATCAGCAAAATCGGGGAGGTGAGGTCCTGCAGGTCCAAAAGGATAGGAAAAAACAATACCCATCCTCCCAAAATCAGCCTGTTCAGCTGCTACCATCTGGCAAGCTGTCGTACCACCGATCTACAGAGCAGATAAAAGTTGCTGTCAAATATCAGTCCCTCCATTTTACTATCATTTTGGTCAAGATAATCGTTCCTTGTTGGACATTGATCACTTTTAATATTTCATCCCTCGGGACCAACATGTAAAATCACAACTGGTAAGGCTCGACCAATAGCGGAATTGTCAGAATATTGTTATTTTTTACAGTTTCTATTGTAGTAAATCAAGAACTGTTCAATCTTTATCTTTCGGTCATTTAATGTTGAATACCTTCTAATTTCAAGTCAAATCGGATTTATTATATGATATTTATTTTCTGAATTCAACACTACCTAGCTGCACAGATATATATATATATATATATATATATATATATATATATATAGCTCATAGTGGCCTTTTGTTATATAAACAGCCTCTTCAGCTCCAGCAAACTAGTTCAACTGAAGTTTTCAGCCAACAGCAGCACTTTAGAGTAATGGGTTACCTGCAGTAAGCAGCAGAAATATAGGCCAACTATCATTTTAACCCAAAGTGATTCTCTTTTAAACCGAGTAATGCATAACAAAGTGATATAAGTGGACCAGGACAAGTGGA